ATCGAAACGCGTTTTTTTTTTTATTATTTACACCTGTGTCGTGCACAGGTTGCACATGTGGACGCGACGCCACTGGTTTCAGTACTTTTAGAACTTATTTGAAATGATGCTGTGCTCCCCACAGTGATCCAAATTTTTCTGAAGTGATTGAATATTTTCTGAAGGGATTCCAAACTTTTCTGAAGTGATTCAGTTGTTACAAAGTGATTCAGTTCTTGAGCAAATGATTGCAAACTTGAGAGAATTGGTACAATACTTTCCGATGTTTTGTGAAGTAATTCAGTCCTTTCCGAAATTATTCAGTTCTAACGGAAGCGATTACAAACTTTCTGGAAAGATTAAGTATTTTTCAAAGAGATTCAGAAATTTTCTTAAGTCATTCAATACATGCTTTTCTGAAGTGATCCAGTACTTTTCGGAGTGATTCCAAACATCCCTGAAATGATTCAGTGATTTCTGGAGTGATTCCTATTTTTTTCTGAAGTGATTGAGTACTTTCTGAAACGATTCACTACTTTCCGAAGTAATTATGAACTCTCTGAAACGATTCAGTACTTAAACATATCTGAAGTGATTCAGTGCATGCCTAACTGATTCAATTATTTTCGAAGAGATTCCATTCTTGCGGAAATGATCACAAACTTTCTGGGATGATTCAGTACTTTCCAGTGTGAACCAGAAATTTTCTGACGTCATTCAAAATTATCCTAAAATATTCTGAGCTTTTCTGAAATGATTCAGTACTTTCTGAAGTGATTTCAAACATTCCTAAATTGATTCAGTTCTTTCAATAGTGATTTAGTGCTTGCGGAAGTGAATACAAAGCATGCTGGAATGATTCAGTATTTTCCGGAATGATTCCAAACTTTTCTAAAGTGAGTTAGTACGCTTTGAAGTGATTCCAAATTGCTTGAAGTGATTCAGTGCTTCCGTAAATTATTCAGTACTTTCCGAACTGATCATGAACTTTTCCAAAGTGATTCCGAACATTCCTGAAGATATTCAGTATGTTCCTAAGTGATTTAGAACATTTCTGAAATGATTAAGTTCATTCCTAAGTGATTCAATTATTTCCAAAGTGAACTTTTCGCAATGATTTTGATTTTATAAGTGTTTCCGATCTTTTCTGAAGTTATTAAGTACTTGGTAAAGTGATTCTCAACCTTTCCAAAGTGATTCAGTACTTTCTAAAGTGATTCCAAACTGTTCTGAATCGATTGAGTACGTTCAAAAGTGCTTCCGAACATTTCGAAAGTGATAAAATACTTTCCGAAATGATTGACATTTTTTCTGAAATCATTCAGTACTTTCTGTAGTGATTTAAAAATTTTCTGAAGTGATTAAGATTATTCGTTGTGACAACCTTACTCTTGGAACCACTTCGAAACTTTAAGTGCACAAGAATACATGAAGTTACGGTTTCAAGGGTAATGCCCCATTTCCGAGATTTTTGTAATTGAAAATTCGAAGTGGAAGTGCATTTGTGGACTCAACAATGAATCACTAGACTGATGCAAAATTTGACTTTTTCGCTCCACAGTGCTTAAATGGTTTCAAATCGGGTCCTGATTAGCCTTCAAAATTTACAACTCATTTGGTTGGAAACAGACTTCGCACAAACCATTTGAAGTTTACATGTAAATTACTATGGGAAATCTCAACTTTTTGTTCATTGCCTTCTAGTCTTTTTCCATATTGAGCTGCAAAAGAGTTCGATAGCCATTGAAGAAAATTTTCTCAGCTACAACTTTGCTGAAGATCGTTTCTATGTAAAACGAGACATGAAAAAGTTATTAATTATTTAAGAGATTGGTAAACTTATGACATGAGCAAGCAGCTGCTCTGTAGGCAACACTGTAATTTGCAGTGTGACATAGTAGCCATGATTTTTGTGTCCTATTCAACGCCCCAGAAACACCAATGTTGCCTGCTGAGCAGTTGATTGAGCATAATCATAAGACATCAGCGCATTGAACCATTGATAACTTTCGATCCTTGCATTTAATCAAAAAATGGTCTCCAGCAAAGTTGTAGCTGGGAAAATTTCCTACAAGTACAGTTGAAATTTTTTGAAGCAAACCAATATGGGGAATTATTAGATAGACATGAACAAAAATCTTGGTTTTACCATAGCAATTCCCATACAAACTTCAAATGGTTTGTGCCATCTCAGTTTCTCACCAAATGGGTTCAAATTTTGAGAGGTTAGTCAGGATCAGATTTGGAATCGTTTAAGTATTGTGGAGCGAAAATTTCAAATTTTGCATCACTCTAATGAATCACCCTAACTACTTTTCGAAGTGATTCAATTATTTTTTTAAGTGCTTACAAACTGTATTGAAGCGATTCAGTACTTTTCGAAGTGATTCCAAACGATTCTCAACATGTTTGTATAGCAAGGGCAATTTCAATATTTTTTAACTGATCATGTTTACCAGGGGCGCTAACCTTTTTAATTTTTCTCCAGAACGTGTTTATTAGGGGCGCAGCCATTTCGCATTGATGATTGTTGTCAATTTTTCGGTTTTGATAATTTTTCCCTGAACTTGTCTACCAAGCGCGCTTGCCATTTCAAATTTACCGATTTTTCAATTTCCACCTGAACATGAATATCAGAGGCACTAGTTATTGGATTGGATTGCTGTATTTGACTTATTTTGTAAACTATTTTTTTTTCATGTTTCAAGTACCCATGGTTTCGAATATTCAAAAAGTTTGCATTTTTCATATGCTATTTATTTTTATTTTACAAAATCCAGGCAAGGGCAGTTTGAGATATTTCGATTCTTAACATTTGTTTTCAAATTTTACTTAAAGTAAATAAAAAATGTTTATTTTTCTCGACAACTTTGTCTCAGACGTCATTGCGATCAAAAATGTCGTTTCTGTGCAGCAATTTTTTGAAAAATTTCAAGAACGCCATTTTTGAAAGTTTTGCCAGATCCAAAATGGCCGAATTTATGCAAAAATGAAAATAATTGCCCATAACAAACAATTACGCAAAGTTTCATACAAATCGGAGAAGGATGCTAATTTTTTTTTTGTTAGTTTGCCTGGAACCGCTGTGTTGTGTTGTGAATTTAAGTTTTTTTCAATTTCTACTTTCTTCGAGTTGGTTAAAGCTTTAGACATATTTTGAACCGTTAAGACATTCGAAAATCCATTTTCTTAAACCTTTGCGTGCCTAACGTCTAAATTTACATAGATATCAAAATTCAATTTGCTCTAAAAAAACCATTTCTCAATCTTTTGACGTAGGACTATGTCTGTGCTTTCTATATGGAGGTACACTTTGTGAAAACCGAACATGTAACAAAATTATGAAAGATTTAGAACGTTAATAACTCAGCTGACCCTTGACCAATTTCAATAATTTTATCACCAATCGATCAGATATATTTGTACGCATCTGTTACTTCTGTTCATTTTATCATTTTTCAAAATGTCACTGCTAAAAATTGCACGGATGTGCAACTGTTGCCTGCGAAAAGCGATTTCCCTAGCACAGATTTCAAAGTTGAATTCCATCCGGTCTCACCAATCGGTGTTTATTCAATCACCGCGTGGCGAGTGGTGGTGTTCTCCAGTACACAACGCCTGCAAGCAGCGAGCTGCAGCCCACATGAGCATCCATAGAAGGAGGAAGAAGCCGCACCGCTATTGATCCGAATCAGCAGCTCTTCGTGAGTCGCTGTGGGCCATCTATGTCATACTAAAGAATATAAACAGAGAGAACCCCGCTCATATTTCTTTGAGTGTACATGCCTCTGTAGAGGGATTTCTTAAATTTCAGGGGGCCAGTTCATTATTCTAAAGGGTGTTGCACCACGGAAAAAAACGCTGTAGAAAATTACCATTGGGTATATTCTCGTGAAAATTTGGGTAGAAGTAGTTTGGAGTGTATTGTTTACACTGTATTTCTATCGCTGTCAGTTTTTCGAAAGTTGGGAAAAATGGCGTCACCCGAAAAGCAACGTCGCAAATTGATTTTGCACAAGTACCTGGAAAATCCTCAACTCTCTCATCGGGACATCGGAAAACAACTCGGAATCGTGCAGTCAACGGTGAGTCGTGTGATTAAACGTTACGACGAAACTCTGAGCATCGAACGGAAGGAGATGAATGAATGTTCTATTAGTGATCAGGATCACAAGCGTGTCGTGAAAGCGTTTAAGGGGAATCCCAATGCTTCGGTCAGGGATGTGGCCAAAAAGTAGAATCTGCCCAAGTCTTTCGTTCAGAGAGCCAAGGACTGGGAGGGGACTGGATACGTACAAAGTGCAGAAGGCTCCAAATCGAGACGAACGGCTAAATACGGTGGGAAAGTCACGGGCCCGGAAAGTGTACACCCAGATTCTGACGAAGCCTCATTGTCTCATCATGGATGATGAGACTTGCGTCAAGGCGGACTTCCGGCGGCGTACGGTTATGGTATTGAAGTTGAATGAAATAAATATGCCAAAAGCTTACTCATGGGTTATATTTTATTGTCTGAAAGTTTGAAAAGGATCGGTCAACTAGCTAATTTTCTACAGCGTTTTTTTCCGTGATGCAATTTGATGTGGGACACCCTTTATGCTTATTACAATATTTATGCTTCCATAGGATATTGATTGTTCAAGTGTACCTTCATATGTTCCTTGGGAGCGGATGCATTTGTCACACATCCACATGTTATCGATATCATCATCACCATCATGAGAGCTTAATTAATTCCTTGTTTGATCCACTTCCCCCTCATCGCCATTAAGCACAAAGCACCCGTAGGCTGTGAATAGAAGCTAATTGCGTCGCTAATTGAAACAGATCCCCTCGTGTGTCACATGTCCATGATACGGTGGCGGCTCTCTCGTGGCCAGTCTCGGCGAAGATTTATGACCCATTCGACAGTGTAAAATAAACCTAATTACATAATCATCCGCCAAAGTATCACACCACAATAATCGTATTCAAACACTCACACAAACTTCCTTCTCTCTCCCTCGCACTCGCAAACACAGCACGCCCGCCTACGATCTGGCACCGAATCCGGACAAGCAGTGGATCCTCCGGGTGACGCAACCGATGGAACCGATCCATCGCAAGTTTACCGATCTGCTGATGACAAAGCGGCTGCAGACGCTCCAATCGGTGGACGTGGCAGTGGAGCGGGTCTACCAAGAGCTGCAAGCCCTGGGTGAACTGGACAATACCTACATCATCTACACCTCGGACCACGGTTACCATCTGGGGCAGTTTGGGCTGATCAAAGGCAAGAGCTTCCCGTTCGAGTTTGACGTTCGGGTTCCGTTCCTGATGCGGGGACCGGGAATCGAACCGGCCAGTGTGTTCGTAGTATGCGATAGCGATGGTTTGCCGTTGTATTTCATGAGTTTTTTTTTGTATTTATACGAACAGGGTTGACGAGATCGTGCTGAACGTGGACTTGGCACCGACGTTTTTGGACATTGGCGGAGTGGTGCCGCCCCCGCACATGGATGGTAAGAGTTTTCTGCCGCTGATTTTGAACCGTCACAGGAATGCGATCGAGAAGTGGCCGGATACGTTCCTGATTGAGAGTTCCGGTCGCAGGGAAACTCCCGAGCAGATGCAGGAGCAGCGGATGAGGGCGGCCGCGGCGAGGTACAGTGCGCGTCTGAATGCGGCCAATTCGAGCGTGATGACGGTGAATCAGCGGGGGGAGAGTGTGGTTTCGCAGGAGGCGGTGACCGAGAGCGAGAAGATGGAGGAGGAAGTGACGATGGATTTCGGATCCCATGAGCATGACGAGGACGAGGACGACGGGGAGGGGGATCATGAGGGTGAGAGGGATGACGTTTGGGTGCGGTGGATGGGGATGTATTAAGATTTTTTTTCCCCTGATAGATGATGATCACCCTATAGAAGATTCGGACGTGGAAATGGCCGAAGCCCGGCAGGAACAAGAGGACTACGTTATCGATCACCAGGAAGCGCAGCATTTCGGTGTTAGTGAAGGTATGGTTGAACTTGTTTAAATGATGATGTTTTTCTTTCTAAATTTTTAAGAATGTATTTGAGATTTTTGATGGTACCAGAGTCTAGCAAATCGCAAGGAAGTTTATTTGAAACTACGATCTTCATGACTTTTCGAAGGCATTTCAGTTGCAAACTACATAGAAGATCGAAAGAACAAAAAAGGGAATTCCTCCAGAAGGTTTCAAAAGGAAGGCCTTGCTGTTTTGGCAATGCTTAAAAAGCCATGTGATCTGGCTCAGTCGTATATTATGCAACCGTCTTCAATTGATGTTTAGAAGATACATAAAAGTCACTCGAAATTGATAACGGACTAGATCCAAGATGCTCTTACGTTGGTGAAAAGCTAGGGGTATGGCACAACCGGATTCGCTAAAAAGCAACAGAGTTATCATTTTTGAAAACCTTATCTAAAGCGAGCCTTTTTTCAAATATTCGTCGCTAACCGTGCTAACCGTTTCATAAGTTTTCTTACCACTTCACTATGGTCAAAAATGCCAAATTTCACGGCATATCTCGAAAACCATGTGCTCTAGAGGTTTGACATCTTCGACAGTTTGTCCTGAAGAAAGATCTCCTTTTTGGCGTAGGTAGTTACTAGGGTGGTCCTCTTTTTTCATTTTTTTTTACTTTTTGTTTATAAAGTTAAGAGGAATACTGTAAACTAATAAAATAGGCAGAGTAAAGTTAAAGCGTCTTTATTGAACTTGGGTAAAAGAGAAGAAGGTGTAGCGATCGGACACGGAATAAAGAACGATTAGTTACGAAATACTTAAAATCTTTATTTTTACTTTCAATAGAAAAACAACCACGTTCGCGCGTTGATAGCTGCGTAGCAAAGATTGACAGCTTGAGTTCTTTTTCTTCGACGACGACCCGATGGAAGCCAGGCTGACCAGTGTTGCCGGGTGATGCCACAGGGCCCCTCCAGTTACACCAAAAATCTTACGCGATGTTCAGATTGTGTAACTTTCGTACGATGATCATCTTGAGGATATTTCTGCAAATCCGGATTACAAGTGAAAGCCGCTTTTATTCGGTCGACTGAAATGCGCTGCTGTTTTCCAGAAATAAGTACGTCGAAGAACTTATCATCTCGTCTTATTACCTTGAATGGACCTTCATAAGGATGCTGCAACGGTCGCTTCACAGAATCCACTCGTACAAATACATGTGTACATGTTTTCAAATTGGCGTTGACAAAAACTTGTCGTTCTCCATGACGTTTAGTATCGTGCGGTTTTATATTGTCGAACGTACGGTGAAGCATTTGGGCAAACTCCGATCGGTCGATATCTCCAGGTGCAGACTGAAAGAATTCAGTAAAGCCTGACCGTAAACCATATCTGCAACCGAGCACTGCAGGTCGTCCCTAAATGCCACCCTTAGTCCCAGAAGAATCATTGGAGTTCGTCGTACCAATTCTTAGAGTTTACACACATTATCGATGCTTTCAATGTTCGGTGAAAACGTTCTACGATGCCGTTCGCTTGTGGGTGATAGGCATTCGTACGAATATGGTGAACACCTAACATTCGCGTTAACTCCCGAAAGAGATCGGACTCAAATTGCCGTCCCTGGTCGGTTGTCAGGTTTTCTGGGACTCCAAATCTTGCTATCCATGTTGAGTACAGTGCTTGAGCCACAGATGCTGCAGTCATATCGACAAGTGGAACCGCTTCGGGCCATCTGGTAAAACGGTCAATCATGGTCAGTAGGTAGCGGTATCCTTGTGACGGCGGCAAAGGACCAACCAGATCAATATGAAGGTGTTGGAAACGAGCCTTCGGTAGGTCAAATTTTCCCAACGGAGAGACGGTATGTCGATGCACCTTCGACCGTTGGCAGTCGACGCAGTGTTTGACAAACTCATTTATTTCACGGTTCATAGCTGGCCAAACGAATCGCTCGGAGATTAACTTCCTGCTGCCTCGTGCTCCTGGGTGAGATATTCCGTGTAGGCATTCCATGATGGTTCTCCGTTGAGTACTTGGAACGAAAGGTCGTGGTTTTCCGGTCGAGACGTCACAGTAGATCGGTTGAGAACAACCACTCATCCGTTTTGCTTCAAATTTCAGCGAAGTAGATTTGGATTGCATCAACTGCTGAAGCTCCGCGTCGTTTTTCTGCTTTCGTCCGATTTCTTCATAGTCCACCGAAGTAGGCGCTAGTATACTCTCCACACGAGACAATGCATCGGCGACGTAATTTTCACTTCCACTGACATGTTGTATATCCGTAGTAAATTCCGAGATGAAACGTAGGTATCGTTCTTCATGCGGTAGCCGAGAGCTGGAATCGGTTGTTAGCGCGTATGTTAGTGGGCGATGGTCAGTGAAGATCGTGAAGTTGCGTCCTTCAAGGAAGTGCCGAAAATATTTCACAGACATTTTCATCGCAGTCAGTTCACGGCCAAAAGTAGAGTATTTCGTTTGGGACATCGAAAATTTTTCAGAATAAAATCCGAGTGGTTCCCAATTCTGACCATTTAGCTGCTGCAAGACAGCCCCCGCAGCAATATTTGAGGCATCGATCATCAGAGCTAATGGTTTCGACGAGTCAGGATAGTGAAGCAGTGCTGTCTCCGCTAATGATTTTTTACAACGCTCGAAGCTTGATGAAGCTGCATCTGTCCACTGTAGTTTACGTATGTCGTTTTTCCTGTTCCCGGGAATAAGCTTCTGCAACTCAGCTTGGATGTCGGATGCATGACGAACGAAGCGTTTGTAGCCGTTGGCGAGTGCCAGAAAGCGACGGAGTTCCTTGACTGTTGTCGGTTTCTCGTAGTCCATAATGGCTTGGACACGTGACGGGAGCGGCCGCACTCCATCACTGCTGATCAGGTATCCTAAAAATTCCACTTCCTTTTGGGCAAACACGCTCTTACCCAAATTCAGAACGAGTCCGTGCTGGCGTAGGCGGTCAAACACTATGCGTAGATGCTCCTGGTGTTGAGCAAGGGATTCAGAAGCGATGCATATGTCATCTATAAAGACAACAACGAAATCAAGATCACCAAAGATTCGGTTCATGTAGCGCTGGAACGTCTGACTTGCGTTACATAACCCAAATTGCATGCGGGTGAACTCAAACAAGCCAAACGATGTGATGACCGCCGTTTTGGGAATGTCTGCTTCCTCCACCGCAACCTGATGATACGCTCGCTCCAGATCAAGAGTTGTGAAAACGGACTTACCATGAAGCGAATGCAGCAAATCGTGGATGTGCGGTACCGGATAACGGTCAGGTGTAGTGATATGATTTAAGCGACGGTAGTCACCAACGAAACGCCATTTCCCGTTCTTTTTCAGCACACAATGCAAAGGACTTGCCCAACTGCTACTCGATGGTCTGCATATTCCTAGGTCACACATAAGGCGAAACTCTTCCTTAGCAGCTTTAACTTTGTCCGGATGCATTCGTCGAACTTTAGACGCCACGGGTGGTCCACGAGTAACTATGTGATGGGTTACGTCACACTGCGTGACAGAACGAAGCGTCGATGGCAGAGTTATTTCCCGGTACTCCATTAACAAATCGTGGAACGGATGATCGGCACCAACAAGTGTTACACTGTGCAGAGCAGCAGTCATCATACCTCCAGAAGACTTCAATCCTGTCTGGCCATCTATCAGTTTTTGGTTTTTCAAATCGACGAGTATGCCGAAGTGCCTTAAAAAAATCAGCACCGATTATTGGCATCGTCACTTCAGCAACGAGGAAATTCCAGGTGAATCTTCGTCTCAATCCTAGGTCAACAGGAATAAATTTCGTTCCAAATGTCCGAATTCTACTTCCGTTGGCTGCGTGGAGCTGTTGTATAACGGTACCGTTCAATCGATCTCTCCTGGAGGCAGGCAATATTGTGACGTCCGATCCAGTGTCGATTAGAAAGCGTGTATTGTTCGTCCTGTCAAAAATTACCATTCGGCGACTTTCCGACACTCCGGCCACCACCACCGATGATGGTGGGGAGGATGCTAGTTTTTTGAGCTCCATGAACACGGTTCTCGGCACCGCTGAGCATCGTTTCCATATTTCCTATGGTACCAGCACAGTCCGGATCGTGATGACGAACGAGAACCACTTCGGTTTCGCGAAAACGAACGGCCTCGCTCAGGGTTGGGAGCCTTCAGGCGTCGGATTTCCGCTGTGAGAAGTTCGATCTGCTCTGCTAGCTTCCTTTCACCACTGTTGCTGTACGTTGGTTCGTTGTGCACCATGGCAACTGCGGAGGACTGACCGTTGGAGGCGTCGGTGATCTTGTCTGCCATTTCAGCCAACGTCTCGATGGTACCATCGTGGCATGTGAGAATTGGTCGAATGTTTCCCGGGAGGCGTTGAATGAAAATCATTTTGAGCAGATTGTTATCCACGCCCAAACCCGTCGACAACTCTTTCATCTTTGCTAACAGATGCGTTGGGCGCATATCGCCAAGATTGTAGGCCCCCAGCAGCTGTTCGAAGCGGCTTTCAGCAGACAGGGCGAAGCGAGCAATTAGGCGATCTTTCACTGTTTTGTATTTATTTTCCGCTGGAGGAGCAGCTACCAAATCGGCTATGTGACATATAACCGATTGATCCACTTTGGCCACGATGTGGTAAAACTTGGTTTCATCATTGACGATTTTCGCAAGGTGGAATTGCGCTTCCGATTGCGCAAACCACATAGCCGGATCAGTTTTCCAAAAATCCGGTAGTTTTACCGCGACAGATGCTGCTGCGTTGCTCCCGTTATCGTCCGGCATTTTGAGGTTAGTTTCGGCTTTGAGATCGAATATCGGCGAATAACCGTGAAATCGGACCGAAACTTTTAGATTCGCGACGTCGCGGGTCACCAATGTAGCGATCGGACACGGAATAAAGAACGATTAGTTACGAAATACTTAAAATCTTTATTTTTACTTTCAATAGAAAAACAACCACGTTCGCGCGTTGATAGCTGCGTAGCAAAGATTGACAGCTTGAGCTCTTTTTCTTCG